GAGTTTAGACTATGGCTCACTTTGATGATGTTTGCAAGTCCCGGCCTGCGGACGCAGCGCCACAGCCCGGGCCAGCAACGACTCGGCCGACCAGTGGCGACCATCCTGGATTTTGGCTAGTCTAAACTCCTTCAAGCGGGTTNNNNGGGTTTTATATACCCCAATAATGGAGAATCAAATGGAAAAGAACATGGAAAATGAAATGGAAACTGCTATATATATGTGTATATGTATAGGGTTATATAAGGGTTATATGAGCTTTAGTCTAAACTCCTTAATGAGGGTTATATAGGGGACTATATAGGGGAGCAGTATAGGGCTTATTAAGGGGGATACTAGGAGTTAGACTATAGCTCACATGCAGGTGCTTCGTGGTGCCTGTAGTCTTGTGTGATTTTTGGCAATCATCGGCAGAAGAGTCTCAGTTCTAAATCGTAAACATCTGAAGGTTCCATCAGACAGAACAGCCCCCACGCCCACACCTGCAAACATCGTCCAGGCACTCCTGCCAAGCAGACTGATCTCGAGCCAGTCCTATGAAGCTGTGCAATTCCAATGAGAGCCATCTCATGCAATGCCTTACAATAACAGAACCAAGTGTAGGAATCTTCGGGAGCGCACCAGAACTCATCTCGACACGATGTAAGCCCTACATACTTGCTATCCACTTCCTACAGCACACACCTCATTTTCTCGATGCAACTATGCCACGAGCCTACCGTTTCTGGGCTGCAGCGAAGTCTCCAAACAGATTGTGGTTCCCGTCATCTGCCTGCAAATCGTCTGTTTATCGAAGCTCTGCGTGCATTTCCGGCGATCTTTAGTCAACAAAAGTGGGAAATTGCAATGCAAGTTGCATTCTGTGAAGGTCACTATGGGATTACATACAGGTTTCTATGACCTTGGCTACCATGACCTTTTGCATGAAGATGTCGATGATTCTTTGGACATGTGAATCTTATGACTATGCTTGCTATCCTTGGAACGCCACTCCACCGTAAGCCCTTCAGGGTTTCGGGGGTTTAGGGACGTAAACCTAATGGCCTGGAGTAACGTGAGTCGCAAAGCCTAAACTTTGCGTTTGTCACCCAGGAAAACTACCCATCGGATCGGGGTTTGCTCCTGAGATAACAGACTTTGCCTGCTAGATTCATCCAGCACAGTGGGATACATGTGCAGTCCAAAATCACCAGATAAACGCGTAGTCCTAAACCCTATAAGCCCTGTAACTTTATTTCTGTGCATAGCACAATGTCAATGTGGAAGCTTGGCTCTGTATTCTTATGACCCTTAGCAGTATCGTATTGCTTCGGATATGACTCTTAACATACCTCTGAAGGTTGTTCGGATCCTTTTTCTACACTCATGCAAACAAGCCGAGTTGAGAAAGTAGCTTCCTGAAGCCGGGGAAAGACATGTCCAGCAAGCATTCATATCCTTAATCACTTCTCTGGACGCTTTGAACCTAGCCCTCAAGACCCAAAACCCTATAAACCCTAAACCCATAAACCCTGAATCCTACCCAAGTCCCTGAAGCCCCAAACCCATTACTTTGAAGAGGCGTGTTGCAGCTGCAAACCCAGTTGGTGGCAGGAGTCCGCACAGAAAGGATCGAGCCGAAAGGCCTGCCAGTGGCTGAGAGCCCATGCTTTCCACGAAGGTCTAGGATACATCTACCTTTGGAATCCTTGTAGCGTGCTTTGGGGCTTCCATATTTCTGTTGCGGAGGTTAGGGGTGAGGATGCGATGTAATGATGCAGTGACACTAGTCATGACATGAAAGCCATTGGACCGGTATCAATGCAGAGCACTGGCAGCAAGACTCCGCTCGGAGGCCTGGAGCACCCGGTGCTTGATGACTCACGGGGCTCAACCAGCAGCAATGTCAAACCCACTTAGTTAAAACCATTAGGGTAGAAAGGTAGACGGCTGTGGATGCCTTTGTACATCAGGGGGCTAAGTCTACGCGGGCTCTTTTGGACATGGTCGGTCCTGTGGGCAGTCTCAAGCAAGCAAACGGTCATCATCAACACCATCCATGTACGCCCTACGCCACTCAAATGAGCAAGGGAAGTAAGGCGAGGATCGGACATTTTTCAACTGAAGCGAAAACCACCCCGTAACAACCTCAGAACCCCCAAGCTTCCTTGAATTGGTACATGGCCCGCAAATGCCCCTACAACCCTCGCAGAGCGCCTGCATAAATCCCATAATACCTATGCTGGAAAAGTGCTTTTGCAAGGGTTACTCCTCGTCTCATGAGCAGAGGCAGCCTCAACAAGATGCGACAACTGCAGCCCATGTCGCTTCTGCGATTCCTGTGCCAGAAGGGCAGGCGCATGATGCATTCAAATGACAATCTTTTCTGGGCCGCTTCTCTGACAGGGTCCTTACCTTGGAATTTTGTCATGGGAGCTGATTCTACAGAGTCTTCACTTGAGCGGAGTGGATTGTTGAGGGGCAGGATCTTGCAAGCGAGGAAAAACTTGGCTGCAGAATAACCTCATGCATGCCCCTTAACCAAACCTCCTGCTCCCACTGAAAAACCAAGCCGGCCGAGCAATCCAAATCCAAGAAACCTGCACCCGCCACGGCATAAGCTTCCAAACCCAACTGAGAACTGAAACATGACCGAATATCAAGGCTACTCTCAAGACTGTGACAAACGCCTTTGATTCGCCGCAGCTTGTCCTGATCTTACTTGTCCCGAACTTCAGACCCGACAAGCCATTTCAGCATCACATCCGCAAGCTTCCCGACCCTTCCGCAGCGACGAAACCTACCCTAAACCCTAAAACCCTGAAACCCAAACCCTAAATCCTAAACCCTAAATCCCTAAACCTCCCCTCCGGCCATGGCGTCGCAGGCGCCCAGGGCAGCTGCAAGGCGGCGGCGCCGGCCGGCGCTGCGTGGCTGGAGCCTGCAGGCCTGGGCCCCAGGGTTGTGGTTATGTAGGGGTTATGGGTTTACGTTTTAGGGTTTAGGGTTTAGGGGTTGAGGGTTCAGGGTTTAGGGTTTAGGGTTTAGGGTTGTGGGGTTATATAGGGGTATATAGGGGTTATATAGGGGTCATATAGAGGTTCTATAGGGGTAGGGGTTCTATAGGGGCTATATAGGGGTTATATAGGAGTTATATAGTTATATAGTGATTCTATAGAGGTTCTATAGGGGTAGGGGTTCTATAGGGGTTATATAGGGGTTATATAGAATTTATGTAGTTATATAGGGGTTCTATCGAGGTTAGAGGTAATGGAAAATGGAATGGAAGCTACTATTTATGTATGGGTGCGTAGAAGTTTCGGCTAATGTAGACCCCTGATTAATAAACCCCCTTCTTTGAAGGGTCTAAATATTAGGATCCCTACTAAATCCCTGTTAAGGGGAGGGGCTTTATTAATCACAGGTCTGGGTTAGGGTTGCAAAGCTTAGGGAGATTCCACACGGGCCGGCGAATGTTGGACTCGCACTGGACCTGGAAGATGCATGAGGACTACTTGCTACCAGTACTTCACCTGCAAGATCCACGTGCAATTCCATCTTGGACGCTCACATGGCACGCTAAACCTAGCTTGGGCTCGCTGGAAAGGAGGCAGTCATGCTGTAAGATGATGGTTTCCGAGCCATGACATAGACTTGAACCTGGCTTCGCCTGGGGATGTCTCAAAAGCAGGCAAGGTCCAGGGTTGGGGGAACGGCATTTTTCAGAAGTGAGCAATAAGTTCCAGCAAGGTCTCCGTATGGCAATGCACCATAGAAATCCAGCCAACCCCCCCATGCAATTCAAAAGAACGCCTGCGCATATTTGAGACCCTGAAATGCACTATAGTCACTTTAGCATCCCCGTTGGAATAAAGGACAGTAGAGAGGCGATGCCATACTTCTGCGAAACTCAGCTGTACATCCTGAACCCTGACTGATACCCTAAGTTACTCTTACTGTTGCTATTACTACTCTTCTACTGACTAACTATTGCTGTTACTATTACTCTTGTTCTTACTCCTCCTCCTACTACTACTCCTGCCACGACTCCTCCTACTACTACTCCTCTTCCTCCTCCTACTACTACTACTACCACTACTACTACTACTACTACGACGAATCCAAGGCCTGCCTTCTCCTGCAACTCCAGAGATGATGACACAAGCCGTCGGACCTTGACAATATGCCCCTCCTGTCCTTTTCGGAATCCAAGTATATAAACTCGAAGTGCCTTTAAAACGGGTTGTAAGGGTGATATAGGGGTTATAATGCAGAATCAAGTGGAAAAGCAAATGGTAAATGAAATGGATACTGGGATTATGTAGGGATCCTAGTTTTCAAGCAATGCCTACATTGGGCCCTAAAGTCTGCCAATATTACCTACATCGGGCCACTTGGATCCTTAGGGTGTTGTTTGTTCCCTTAACGATCATCCAGGGACGTTTTTGAAGGTTATCTTGTAGGGATGCGGGATGACTTTTCAGGGGGCTTGCTGAAATTCCGTGTGCCCCTGTTTCATTGGCTTGCTTCACATGTGAGCCATAGTCTAAACTCCTAGTATCCCCATTAATAACCCTGCAGTACTTCCCTGCTCCCCATAGTTTAGACCCTAAACCCTAAACCCTATATAATCCGCTATGTAACCCCCGTTCAGGAATGTAGACCCTGAACCATATATAACCCCCTAGAAAACCACCTTGAAGAAGTGTAGACCACAGCTCATGCGGGTACCTTTGGTCCTAGGCAGACGGATGCCTTTGAGTAGCTCTCGCATGCCCTGGCGATGCCAGACTTCCAATGAGAAGGATGATATGTAAGGGTGTCCAAAACTTTGGGGTCCCCTTTGGGGGGTCACCACATTCAACCATATGGTATTTGGGGCTTATGGGGCGGAATCGTGGTTTTGGAAATGTCCATATGACTATCATGTGTTTACTGAAGCCATAGCTTTTAACCACTACCACCACCACCCATTGCCACCATCACTGCCCTGTTATATTCACAACTTGTCATGGAAGTAAAGGTCGTCTGCAAGAACCGTGCAGACTTGCGGCAACGCACGCAAGCCTCGAGCGGTGCTGGGAAAGCCTTATTACAACTACCTTGCGCCTTGAGCGTACAAGCCTACCTCAAACCTTATGATGGCGAAGCCACAAACCCTTCTGATGGAAGAGCCCGCTCCCGCTGAAATCTTGACTGCAAGAAGAGTAAACCACCTTCACCACATTCCCTCGCTACATCCTCCAGAAAGAAGCCTGGATCTTTTTGTCCGAGCCGGCTACGCTGCTGATCGATTGCAATGGCAATGGCATCAAAGGCTGCCTGAAGGAAGCTCAAGAAAAAAGGTCAGCAGGATTCGCACATATGACGCATTGCTGCGCGGCCTTATTTCCTTTCCCGCCTGGTTCGGTGCGCCCATCTTTATACTCAGTGAAGCTGCCGAATCACTCCTCCTGCGCCCTAGCAACTGATGCGAGCATTACTGTTCTGCCAAGGCAGGTAGCGCGACAGCACTACGAACCCTGCACTGATGGGCGTCCCAACTGGTCCACCATTACTCAGTAATGAATCTGCAAAGCACTGGTGCATCTGCAAATGCGTTTGTAATTGTTAGAAATCTAGGTATTCTGAGGTTTACTCCTGACCTTACTTGTGAGCCCTTGATTTGCATACTGGCCTTGGCTGCACAGTGCCCTTCTTCCTGCCAGGGCATGGAGATTCCAGGGGCTGGTCCTAGAGCTTTCTTTATCTTCCAAAGTAAATACAGAAGCGAAACAAGATGCATATGAATAGCGCAGGGAATCTGTCTTATTCGGACCTTTGCAGCTGCATTCCATCCAGCTAGTCTACTAGGACTGACTCAATGGGTACTTACATGGAAAACTACATGTGCAAGCAAAAGCCACAATATCTCAAATCTCAGCAGTCTGTTGTAAGGCATTCCTAACTTGCCAACATTGAGGTACCACAAGCCCATTCTTACCTGAAATTGCTGAACCTGCACCAAATGATAAGCTGGTAACAACACTGTGCAGTAGTACTGCCTCGCAGGGCTGCGTGGAGCAAGCTCCTCAAGCAGCATGGCAAGTGATCAGAGTTCAGCACTTCCATCTGTCCAAGGTTGAAACCATGGGCTCCTGGTATGGGCCCTTAATTCTTTGGCCCCCGTTTTATGCAGAATACACCCTGAAGGTACCCTCAAGGGCTTCTGGAAGCCCCCTGAAAGGCTAGGGGCCCTTACTGCCCATACTTCCAACTTTAGAGTCGGGTCTTAAGTCTTAATTGCACAGCTTAGGCTTGAGGCACGAGGCAGGGGCCTGTTTCTATGTAATTCACTAGAACAAGGTTTTGGGGCCAAGCGGACAGAAGTCATGTTCATCGAAGGTGAGACAAGAGTGATTTATACAGTCCAACACAATTTGTTCCTATCAGGCAGACAAAGGATGTATAGCTTTCCGGAGTGGCAATCACGTCAAGATTTCAAGAATTTTGCAGAGACTGAATCACTCCTTGACCATGCCAGCTGATCTGTGCTAGAGACTGCACTCCTTAAAAGGGTTACATGGGGGATTCTAGGGGACTAGTATAGAGTTTACTAACGGGGGTACTAGGAGTTTAGACTATAGCTCATTTGAGGCCTGTGGGCATTGCATGAGCAGACATGACCAAGGGGTTGGTTCGGTGGCGCGACCTCACCTTAGATCTTCTCATGCCCTGCATGCAGGCAGAGCGAAGCAAAGTGGCTCTTCACTTGTCTTCTTCATTCTGCAACCCCTCGCAGACCACGCTGTAACCCTTAGCTATTCTGAGCTTGATTCCTCTGCCCTCTGTAGCATAGCTTCCCGTGACCAGCGCGCACCCTGGAACTCCACCTCAGGCAATGCATGGCTGCTGCAGAGTTGGAGCATTTCTCACACCAGGGGTCATCTAATGTACATTCAGCATGGTAATCCTTATACTTCCCTACAAGGGGATCATCATCTTAAGAAATTCCGATGTAGCTTTTGAAGGCGCTTCAGAGTCACAGCTGCTACCGTTGGGCAGATGAAGTCAGGGTAAGGCTAATTTTTGCTTGAGCGCAATGTCATGAATGACCAGTATATGCACAGACCTCATTGACTTTGTCCCAGATATCTGCATCGTTCGAACAATCATGGTTGTTGAAGCCTAGCTGTATTCAGCTGCCTAGGAATCAAGAAAACAACACCTATGCAATCCCAAATAACGGCCCAATAGCTGCTCCACTTGCAATCCCTACGTTCTATATGCCTGGGGATCTCTAGGGGTCCGTGTGAGCCATAGTCTAAACATGTCTAAACTCCAAGTATCCCCCCATTTTGATTCCCTTACATAAGACCCCGTATAACCCCCTTTATCATGTTCTATATCTCTGGGGTTCTAGGGGTCCATGTTGAGACACCCTGCTGCCGGGTTTTCCGGGAGGATGTTAGGGACCCAAACCCGAAAGGCTATGGGCCCTGGACTGGCCCCGAACACGAAGTCCTAAGGGTCTTTGGGTTAAAGGCAGAGTGACCTTAGTCTACTTTGGCACCATACTTCCCATGGTGCAAGGTACCTAGGGTCATGCAGGCTTTTTAGTATCCACCATATCAAGAGCCGTAGAAGTAAGGAACCTTACCGCAAGTGCCCTCTGGACCATTTTTGTTGCTACCCAATTCACTGAAAGTGGGAAATTCCATAAATAGGGGGTATAATAGGGGGACTCCTATATAGACCCTAAAATACTACAATGGTTACTCTAGGGATCCCTAAAAAGGGTACCCCTGATTTTAGGAAAGCCCCAAATAAATCAAGGCAAAGCTGGGAAGCCTCCGCATCGGTGGAAAGAGCAACTCCTCTCAGTTTTGGAAGGACTTCCCAGAGTTTCCACCAAGTATCCCTAGGAATCCAAAAAGCCCAAGGAAGGTAACATTTACAGACCGTAGGGCCCAATGTAGGTACTATATGTGTATACTTAGATCCCTTGGGTATGCTTTGACAAGCCTCGGGGTTTCGTGTTCATGGCTAGAACTTCCATCAATTCACTGGCGCTAGGTTCTGAAGTTCCGGAATCAAGGTGCTCGGCCCCTTGGCCCCAAGGACAGAGATCAGTCTGTTGTCCAGGGCCATTGTTGCTCTCATAGGTACGCCTAGGGTCTGACTTATCTTGACACGACTTCTGGTGTGCTTTTTGCAGTTCGTCGCTACGGACTGTGGAGATATGTCAGCTATATGCCTCCAAGTGGGTTGCTTGCACACCGCTACTTAACAAGTGCCATGACCGTATCAGCGCTGCGGTACCCGAGAAGCCTCTGCATGAGAACAAGTAAGAACGCCACATTCCCATGTGCATTCTACATCTTAGCCGGCCCTTCCAATCAATCCATCAACAAACAACTCCAGGCGCTGCCTTCAGCGACACTCAACCCAGACCTGTGACTAATAAACCCCTCCCCTTCATAGGGATTATAATAGGGGTCCTAATATCAAGGCCCTTAAAAGGAAGGGGGTTTATCCATGAGGGGTCTACACTAACCCCTAAGCACTAAACCCTAAAAACAGTAGTGTCCATTTTCTTTTCCATTATCCATATATAACCCCAATATAGCACCTACATAATTACAGCAGTTTCCATGTTCTTTTCCATTATCCATACATAACCTCAATATAATATATTGCCTATATAGCCCCTAGATATTCCCTATATATCCCCTATATCCCCCAATATCATATGGGTACACATTAGCAAGGATTGTAAGCGGCGAGGTAAGGTCCTCAACCTAGAGCTTGGGATGGGGTCCTGCATCAAGCCAGGAGCGAGCAGAAGAGGGATCCAGCTCCTCAGTCTCTAGTCCCCCTTAAGTAGATAGAATATGAGGTATATCATTGGGGTTATATTGGAGTAATGGAAATGGAAAAGAAAATGGAAACTACTATTTAGGCTTTAGGGTTTAGGGAAGTATAGTCCCCCTTAAGTAGATAGAATATGGGGTAGATGGGGATCTTATTATAATATACCTAGAGCCATATTCTATCTGCTTAAGAGGAAACTATATCCTACTTTGGTTGCTGCGATTCATATTGTGTACTGTTTCTTCACACTGTTCAGTATTTATTCCATTGCTAGTTAAGACTATTCCGATTATTGTCGCTACTGGTGTCGCTGATTCCAATTCTTACCATTACTCACCCTGCGATTGTGACTGTCACCAGGCTTACCACTAAAGCCACGCAGAGGATTGGATGTGCACGCCAAAGGCTCTTCAGCATATCGGTTTGCAAAAGGACCAGAAACAATACCATGTTGATACGGTCATAACGGCTTCCAACACACCAACATCAAAGAATGACAGCCAGCGCTTCAAGTGTCTAAAGCTAGCACATCCCATGAGGTCAATATCGCTTGTGCCAACACTTGCCGACAGTCACGTGGCTTACACCTGGCAGGAGGACTGGCGATGGTCGCCGATGGCTAATGGGGCTGATTGGGGTGGTGGGGGCGGTAGGGTGGTCGTAGCGGCGGTGGTGGTGCGGTGGCGACGGGGGAGTATTGGGATGACAGCTTCCTCCTTACTGTTGTACGTGGCCTCTTCTGAGACACTCCAATTCTGCCCTGATGGCTCTTTCGCTCAATTTGCTCCCTGGCACCATAGCTGAACTCCGCACCTTTAAAGGTAAGAGAACTAAACCCCTTGCACCAACGCTACTTCGGAGAACGAGGTGTCTGCTCGATGGTTAATGGTACACAAAATGGCCTTCTGCAATAGCTTGCGGCCGAGTGGCCAGTGCTGCCAAATGAAGGTCCAGCCTACTCCAATACCTGGTCAGCGAGGACCAGTGGGAGCTGTGTAGACGTCTGCAATTTGGGCTTGCACTGAAGTGTACCATTGTCGGATTTTGATCTTGAAGCATGAATATAGCTCGAGTTTGAGGCTGCGACCAGAGTCGTATGCCCTCTAGCATTGTCCAACAGACGAACTTCCGTGTACAACCTGACATATGTGAGACAAGCGAAAGCACTACAAGAATCTTTGCGGAAAGTAGCGCGGTCGACACAGCTCTGCCGCCCACTCCTAGCTTACTGGGGCACAAGTGGCCTTGAGTGCTGCCACCATTGCCACCCAAGCCTTCTCACATATGATAGGCAACCACCAGAGTGTACGCGGCCATCCGTCCACTTTGTTTGCTTCTACAGCCCCTGCTTCAGACATGCTTTTGATCGATCCCTGTCAAATTTTGAGAGCTGCGGGACCACACAACTGGATCCTGTCTCTGGGAAATCTCCTTCATCCTGTGGCGCCTCTAAACCTCTAAACCGTGAAATGTAGTGCTTCCAGTGCTTCTTTGCGACTCCCATACTTGCTCATCTGGCTGTCCTGGTTGGGGCAGCACGCAGCACTCAGGCTGGAACACGATCCTAACTATGACAGTGTAAAGGGTATGAGCACTCAAAGTGCGTGCCCCCTACTTCTGGAACCCCCTCTCAATAGCTCGTCGGAAATGACTGAACATTTCACTAAATGGGGGGTGCCCTTGTATACAGCAAAACACCACAATCCTTATTGTGGGGCATCCCAAAAGCAGATTCCGGATTTCTGGTTGCTCCCACATCAGGACCCATCCAGGCTTTTGCACGACAAGTCTACGACAAGTAGCGGACTGAACATCGGAATGAGCCAGGGCAGTTTTCAGATTTTAGATTCGTGGGCAGCTGGTAGGCACCCTGTACAAGACAACATCTATGATGTTTGGACGCCACCCTAAAAACCCTAAAAGCCCTAAACCTGGACCCTGGACGCTAAAAGTCCTAAACCCTGAACCCTTAACACCTCAAAGCCTAATTCCTGAACCCCCAAAAACCCCACAACCCAAACCGCATTTCGAGACCCGCACTTGGAAACTTCCCAAGTAATGCAGAAGTTTTGTAGGTGAATCTTGGCTCCAGGTCAGGTGCTGAGGTTATATGAGCTCCAGTCAATATTTCCTTCATAATTTAATGGACATGGGTTGCTCATTAGGGACTACATTAGGGACTATGCAAAACTATAACTATAATTAAGATGGGCCCCTATGTCCACTGTTAAGGGTCCCTTAAGCAGGCTAATATTGACAGTAGCTTATATAGGAATCAAGAACGGGTTGAGGGTTTAGGATCATAAGATAGGTTGTACATCTTGCCCCAAATAATGGAGAATCACATGCAAAAGAAACTGGACAATGAAATGGAAACTGGGATAATCCAGGGGTTTATAGGGATTAGGGTTTCCCAAAATCACGGTACCTGTTTGTTCGAGGGTCCTTATAATCAGGATCATATTATATTAGGGTCTATATTGGGGTCCTCATATGGGCATAACATGGAGTTATAAAGATTAACCCTAAACCCTAAACCCCTAAAACCTACACCATACTAAAGAAGGCTTCAGGGAGATTACCCCAATCATGGCTAGTATTTGTAGTGGTTGACAAGGATAATCATTCACTCTAGGTTTTTTGGGGGGATTAGGGTTTAAGTTTAGGGTTTAAGGTCTAGGGATTAACTGCTTCATACTTCCTTCCGCCTACCACCCTGGCGCTAACAATAAATATCCCTCCCGATACATAATTGCACCACCTTTCGGGTTGGTATTACTACGGTGTGTGGGGGGGAGGGTGTTATTATGAGCGGGATCCGACTCTCCTCATACCCTGGAGGCCTTAGTGATATCCAAAAAAACCGGAAGTGCTTGCCGGTGTTTGACAAGAGATTCGCTTCTTGCGCTCTTCCTGTGTCTACTATAACCCAAAAGAAAATAATTTCAGGAGTCTCCAAAAGAGACAGACAATAGTCCCTGAAGGACCCCCTTTATCCACTTGTAACCCCGCTACATCCCCATATTTTCCAGGCAAGTCCTGCTTTGTGAAAGCCGGGTCCTGCACCTCGCGAAGAAAGCCGGACGCGCTCGCCCGGCGCCAATAGCTCTCCCAAATCATTCAGCGCCTATCTCTGGGGGCAAGAGTAGTTCTTAGGTAGACCCCCCAACCCAGTAAGAGTGATAAGGGATAACGGCGATTATATTCATTAGGGGCCTCGTATATTCCTATTACGCCACCATTACAAGGCGAGGGGTCCACCTATAAGGTCGGTCTGTGTGGCCATATGACCTAGTTCAGGGGACTCGTAACCAAACTTGGAATTATCCATGAACCTTCAAATACCGTCCCAGAAGTACAGCACCTAGTGAGTCTTGTGTGCGGCGGTCAGGCATGTCTTGGGGGGGCGGCCGCACACAGGGCAACAGGGTCTGGCATTCAAGGACAAACTGCTGCCAATACGAACAATGGCAAGGACAAGTGTCATGATAAAAGCTGCTTGAAGTGATGGTCGTTGAGATGACAGTGGCAGTACCTCTACCCAAAAGTAAGTAAATGGCCCCAAACTTATTAATATATTCACGAAGGTCATTATTCTACATACCTTGGGGTCCAGAAAACGACAACAAGGGAACTTAACCCTAAACCTAAACCCAAGGCCTTCCGACCACGACTTGGAGGCTCGCGGAACTAGGGGTTCAGGGTTTAGGATCTAGGGTTTTGGGTTTACGGTTCAAGGTTTAGGTTCAGGGTTTAAGGTTTGGGATTTAGAGTTCAGGGCTGAGGGTTTAGTGGCTACTTACAACGGGGGTTATCAGCAAAGTTATTAGGATAAGCGATAATAAAAGTCCAGCTAGGGGAATCATAAGGAGGCTTTATAAGGTCGGATGTGAGCAGCTACTAAGTCCCATGAACCTCGAAGTTTTCTCGATGTACGGTAGCTTTTCTCAGCTGCTAAACCGTAAATCATCGCACATGAGCACTCAACTCGGAAGCTAAACCTCATCAAGCCGTAAACCCGAACCCTCATAATTGTAACAACAGTAATAACAGCGTTTATGGCTTCGGTAGTAACAATAACAATAACAGTAGCACTACCATGACAATACTGGTATTAATACTAACAGTTAGCAGCCTAGTCACCTTACTGCAACTGCCCTCCCCTCCCCCAGGCCTCAGCACTTCCAAGTCTCTCCACAGCAGATACCTTTTAAGATTCCAGGGGCTGTGAGCGGGGTCCTAAGTACTGAATGGGGAAATGGGAAATTAACAGGAATCTGCTGTTCAGGGTTTTTCGTAGGGTTCAGGAGTTGGGGACGGGGGGTGTTAGGTTTAGGGTTTCTTGAATATGGGTTGTATACAAGAAGGGTCATGGACATGCAAGACTCCAAGAAGATCTCAGAGCTCCACTATGCCCGCGAGTTTCTTGAAAGGGTAAATGATGCTGGCGCATGCTGCTGGATTTCAGCGGTATATGAAGAGCACAGGCCTAACTGTCCAGAATCTCGACAGTTAAGAAGGATGATCCCTCAGGAATGACTTACCGTTCTTGGGTCAGTGCTTCCCTCGACATCATGGTGCATTATCCTGACTATATGACGTGCCCTAAAGTTGTCAGTACACTTGCGGGCTTCACAGACAAAGCGGGATCAAGTGCCCGTGAATTCCGCAGGCAAGCAAGTCTGTCCCTCAGATTCTCCAAAGCTGTGAGTGACACCCTCAGGGCTTAGGGCGACACCTCAGCTCTGAAGAGCACAGAAAGCTTAGCGGTCCCCCACACTCCCTGCTCCTCATGCTTGGAGAGTCCCATGTGTTCTTTTCGGGACTCCTCCAGGCAGAGGTACAATAAATCCTCTCATTCCATGGTGCTTGACAAGAAATCACATTTCCCCTATACATTACGCAGCCCTGTCATCAACCCGCAAGGCAACCGAAAGACAGAAACCTCAACCCCTGAAGCCACAAAGGAACCCAAGACAGTTAGAACAACACGTTAAGGTGTGTTTGACGGCTGGTACACCAACTCCATGCAAGGACTATCACGGAACATCATGTTAAAACGGATTGGAAATCGTTCGGTCTTGTAGACAATGCTTTGGCTACTGCCAGCCGGCACGCCGCCAGCACCACCGCATCAAGCAGGTGAGGGGCAGCAGCTGGAGAACGCCAGGAAGGCTCCTGCCACTTAGGGCTTAGCCCTCCCGTGAGAACACTTTTTCTTTTTCCCGATTTAATGCCACGGGAGCATCTCTCCAAATCTCAACAAGAGGGAATTTGGGGAGCATTTTCCCATGTAAACCACCATTGGAGGTCGTTCATTGCCCAGTAGCAGCGGGAGAGTTCACTGTCAGGAAAATGCTGGGTGTGTTCTTCAAATAATCAGGATTAGGAGTAAATAGAAAGGGTTTACTTTGTTGAGCCACGCAAATCCTTAAGACTACCCACTGTTGGGGCCTAACAGGTTTGGGTACTCCTAGGAGGCCTAAAAACGACTCTTCCGGCATGAGTTCCGCGCTGGAAGAGGTCTCCAGAAACAATTCCGAGGTATTGCCAAAGAATTTTGGTGCAATTCCCTCAAGGCAGCAGATGCGAGAAACACATTCTGCGGCGGAAGGTTCCAGCAGTCTGCCATTCACGCGTGGGGACGGTCGGAACCGGTTGGACAAGGGGGCCTCAGGAGTGGATGGACCTGCTCGGAACTCGTCGGCAATGGTCAGAAGTGGTCGGAAATGTGAAGCCCCTAGACACGGGCGCTACTTTGCACGTAGGGCTTCAAGGTCTTGTTCTAGATAGTCATTCTGATTAGTCTTCTTCTCCAAATGTGCTGTACTAGCAGCGATAACACCAAGAATTGACAACTTTTACTAATTAGCACCATCGCCACCAGTGTACGGGAAACGGTAAACATTTGAGGATGAGCGTTGTACTGCGCAGACGGAAAATTATCCCTCCAGATTGCAAGTCTGGTCCCCTTGTCTTAAACAGGTAACTGCCGGACCTGACAAGGCACTTCAGTACTCGACCCTAAAACCCTAAAACCCTAAACCCTAAAACCGGCGGAGGTGTTTTTTTTTTTCCTAACGTTGGCTCCGGCTGTCTTTTTT